CTTTTTATATAGTTTTTTTTTTTTTAAGCTAAACCCACTTTAAAGTTTTCAATAACTTCATTCCTTTATTCTTTATTGTCTGGAGTGTTTCTTGGTTTTATGATGGTGATTATTCCCTAATGTTTCCAATAATTACATGACTTCTAAGTTTTTTGTGTTTCTGGATTTTTTTTTATTAAAGTAAAAGGAACTGAATTCAATTTTCTTATTTTTATTTCCAAAAACGATGCACGTATTTGTCTATTACATAAACCCCCAATTAAATACTATGGATTCAGCAGATATGACATTACAAAATATGATCAGAAAAGAAAAAAAAAGAGTTTACAAAAAAGTTGCACAAATATGTTTGCATGGCTCCCCATGCAAACAAAGTCGACATTCTCCAGTCCGATTTATTTCTGCAGAAATCAGACTGTGACATCCTGCATCTCCTGGCTCACAGGCAGTCATCTGCTACATCTAGTGGACACTGTGATGTATTACAGCCAACCAGTGATGCACTTCTGAATCCAAACTTAATAATAATGAAAAAAGATATTTCTGAATTCTGACCAGATAAACATCTATATACAGTCTGTGTTGATGCTAGCTGAAGTGGCTCATAGGTCTTTAGTAGATTATGTTCTTAGAGCTGAATTAACTCTTTTTTTGTTTTAAGTTTTATTGCCAGCACTTGAAGATCTTCACAGACAAACTTCCTAGGATATTTCTGTCCCCTCACATTATTGAAATGTCCAATGACTCCGGTATGTTAGGAGGATTCTTTCACTTGATGCTCAACATTTTTTGCATTGAGTCTGCAGATGCATGTGTGGGTCCTCTTGTGCTTCGGTTTCCTCCCATGCGTGTTTCTAAACTCACCAGTGTGAGTGTGAGTTTGTGCATGCATTGTTGGGGGGATTACATTTTGTATCTTTCAATGCAATGCCCTGCATGCTAAATCTAATGTCCTCAAAGAAAATCTGTTTTTATTACAGTAAAAAAAAAAAAAAAACTTTATTCTGAAAATGTTTTACAAATCCGACCTTTATTCTGAGCATATTTGTTCGGGAACTAAGAGAATCTACGTAAAACAATAACAATTTGAAGCAAAAAATCATCCCCATTTTATTGCTTCCTGTATTCTGTACTTCTTGTTCTCAGTGGTTCAAAAAATGACACGTCTACTTTTCACAGAAATTCTCCGAAATAGGGAAGAGCTGTGAAAATGCCGATCAAGTAAAGCAGATTTGCGCTGAAGTCATAAAGTGGTGGCAAGATAATAACTCTTCACCAAATCTGACCTGACATGGCTTTTAAATCAACTTCATTACTAATATAAACTCAGAACCATGATGCTTTGATGGGAAACCTGCAGTAAGCAGTAAAGTTTTCAGATTAGGTTTTTAAAGAGCCCCTTTCTGCACATCCCAGGTTCTCGGAAAGTTGGTTCCCAAGCTAAGGAACAGGGACCTCATGACCTGAGGGCTCCAGACCCGCCAAGCAACCCTGAAATGTTTTTAAAGCCAGGACCATCTGGTGCCTTATGGACCTGTAATAAGATTTGAAAATCTATCCTTTCACAAACATGGAGCCAGTGCAGTGGCTGAAGCACTGATGTGATATCGCAAGCGATCCAGACTCTCCTGCAGAAACCATCAGGAAAGTAGATTCAAGCTGAGTTTTTTTTTTCTTCTTTTCTTTAGTCTAATCTGATCTCCCTTCCCCTTTAAGACCTTTATCCCCAATGAGTTTTACGATGGAGCTGATGTTAATTAGATTCAACGTCTTGCTGGAGAGGAAAGAATTGATTATAATTACATATTAAAACCCCTTTCTGTACAATCGCAGGCTGAACAGCTCTGGGCTGACCACTTACCTGTGAAGCCCAGGAACATTTGCATGTCTGGACTTAACCACTCAGGACAACAATGACTCCATCTCTCACCCAATTACATTTAAATGAAAATTCCACTTTACTTGAACGTTGCTCGTCTGATCCATACTGACAGATTGGAAGGATATTATATGGTTATATTCGTATGTTATATTCATTATGAACAGGATTATTTATAAGGGCGTTTATTGTAGAAAAAACACTCCCATTATAGTTATTCAAACATTATAACATGATGTCCTTCAACAGATAAACTGCAGTTATACGAAATGAAACTATAGAAATATACTTCCTCTAATAACGTTTTTCTCCAAACCTCCTTTTGACAATAAAGTCTTCTCACACTGAAGTTTGTCACACTTAGAATATATAGTAGCTTTAAACTGGATCTTCTGATTCTTGCCAAAATGTTAATTTAAAAAGTTCAGTATATCAGATGAGCTTCTGGTCCCATGTCAAGTCTCAGTTGGATTAAATCTTATGTCTTTACAACATGCCTTTTCAGATACTGCTAATCTGCCTCAGATACTTTTTAGCCCTATTCTAATATTCTCTAGTGATTTGGTTGATTTAATATTTCAAACAAACATGCCCCATAACAATTTGCTAGATATCAAGAAGGGGATAAACCCCTTTTATTAAAGTGTCACTGAATATTCTCCGATTTAAGGTCAAATAATCTAAACATCCCTAAATGTTTTTGCTGCTGAAGCCACAAGCCTGCTGTTTAGACAAGCTTAGTCCCATTGCACTGCTGCTCGAGTCACACGTTGTTCTTTATTAATCCTCACATAACATGGATCGACTTCACAAAACGTTTATCTAACAGCACTCGCGAGAACAAATCCCAAACCACAGGACGCCACTGAGGAAAGCTGGAAGAGCGGATTGTTGTTCCCTCACAGATGTCTGACCAAACCCTCAGAGGGCTGTTACTGCTCTCCTCACGTCCCTTTGTGTTAGTTTCTATTGGAAACCGCGTTTCGACGCGCATATGCAAACCTATCAGTCAGTTTCCATGTCATCCAGCTCGTGTTTAAAGTTTGCTTTGATGGCATCTCCCCCCTTGTTCCATCGTGTTATTAGTCAGCTCCATCAGAGCCACAGAAATGCAGAGCACCACTTTTAAAATCCTCATGTCACATATTTCTTCTGTCTTGGCACCTTTTGTTTGAAAGTCCTGATGCTTTTCAGCTTAGAAAGACAACAAATACTGTGTCATCTAGAATATGTGACACTTAATTACCCTCATTGTTGTAGGTAAAACAGCAATCAGCTTATGTGCCGGGCTAATTAAGCGCTTCCTCTTGCTCAAAAACGGTCTTAACCTTGGCCAACATGGCTGCGGTCTGGACTCAGAGGGATTGACATGTTGCTTGGGTTTTTAACGAGAAGATTATTATTTTTTTTCTTCATGCTCTGAAGTATGCAGACATTTTGCTGTGCCGAGTTTGCTCTACTGCTGGAGAAGCCCGTTCTTACTGCATCACAATGCAGCATTAAGTCTGTATAACTTACACAAATACATGCATTAAGCATAAACATAAAAAAAAGTTGTATGCTTTCCAGAGGTAAACAACTACTAAAACATGTCTGTTTTGTTGTTTGCAAAAGGAAAACTAAATAATCTTGAAAAAAACAAGTAAGGAATGCCTTTCAGAAGTATTCCTACTTCTTGAACTCTTTCAAATTTGGTTACATTAAGCACAAATGGCAGCATAATGTATCGGGATTTTTGCACAAGGTAGTCCATAAGGGTGGAGACGAAGGAAACTGAGGCTTGATTTTCCACTCTTCACTCTGGAAGGCCTCAGAGGTTTGTTTGTTGGCACTAAAAATGAGTATTTCTGATAATACATAGAATAATGCAGTATTTCTAGACTTGCTAGGTATGTTCATTTTCAATAAATAGAGCAAGGGCACAAGATGTAGACTCCCTGCATAGCATTTCTGTTGCACTCTTTATATTCAGGATATGTCAAACTATGTAATAACAGTAAAAAAAATAACAATAAAGCTAATTATCTGTTAGTGGAACATTTCATAAAATGGCCTTTATAGAAATTGGCCGAACTGACGAGGATAAAAGTGTTGTAGAAAAAGAAAAACCTCAACCTGCTGCAGTTTCCCACAAGACATGTTGCAGAAAAAGCAAACACGTGGAAGGAGCTGCGCAAGTCTGCTGACACCAAAATAAAACTTTTTAGTTCCGTGCAAAATGTTGTGCGTGGTGAAAAACGCACACACACCGTCCTCACACTGAAACACGACAGTGGCAGCATTGTTCTTTCATGCTTCCGCTTTGCTACGGCATTGGGGAGGGAAGCTGGTCAAAGTTAATGAGAAGGTAGATTGAGGAAAATGCTACAGTCTGGGAAGAATATTTCTCAGAAGTGCAAAGAGATGGAGCTTCACCTTGAAGCAGGCCAACACTCCTGAACACACAGCCAAAGCTACAGTGAATACATAGTACCTGAAAACTGCTTAACACTTAATGAGTCAAGACAAATCTTCTGCTATGTTTTTGATGAGGGAATAACATTATAACATGACATAAAGCTCAAAAAAGTTTATTTTGCAGAAGTTACCAGGAAAAAAAAAACATGTAGCCACTGGTTGTGCAAAGCTGGTCAAACCCAAAAGGACAGGTCGCTGTATAATGTGGTTCCGCCAAAATATTATTGCAGAAAAGAAGAAAAACAAATTGGTTCCACTAATTTTTCAGATTTGCATTGGTAAATAAACGTAAAAAACATCATGTAAAGTTTTGATTCAACCCACTTTATGATGATGCGTTTCTTTGTGTGGGTCTATTCACATGCAATGAAGCCAGCAGTTGAAACGAGACAAAATGTTAAACACTTTCTCACATTCCCCTGACACCAGACACGATTACCAAGAGCAAAATCTCACGCCGCAAATGTATTTTCCGAAAATGCATTTGTCCTCGCCATCGCGCCAACAGCGTGATGGTTCTGATCCGGAGCTGCGTTCAACAAATCCCCAGCATTTCATGAATGCGCTGCACAGCCGGAGGCGCGCGCCCGCCAGCCCGGCGGCCTCCGTTGGATCGCGAGCGCGCGCAAAGAAGGCGTGGAAATATAAAGGTGGGTGGGGGTGTCGCGCGGAAGAGGTACGTACAGAGGGGGGAAAGAAACGTCACTGAGGGAAGCTGAACACACTGGGCGATGTTTAATTCGCACAATTATTTATTCACCCCTGTTCCCGTTTGTGACCGCGGAGCCGTCGCAGCTCGAAGTGCGACTTCCTCTTCGTGCTCGCTCGGAGGGTGTCGTCACCCTCACCGCCCGCAGGGGAGCGCTGACTCTGTCACACCGCCGCTCAACTTCCCGTCAAGACGCGGCGCGGGCGAGAAGAGCTGCTGCTGAGAGAAAAAGGGGAACGACAGCAGGGCTTGTCAAGAGGAGAGGACGTGCTAGGGTCCTCGGGGCGTCTGGCCGCAGAAAGGGTGCTATTGTCCTCCTGCCGATGGCGAGCAGACGCGGATCTGCTAATTAGCCTGCGTTGGTCCCTGCAGAGAGGGAGAGCGGAGCCGGGCTGCTAGCTGCAGCGACAGGGCTTTTAAGGGGGCCGTTGTGCACATCTCATCCGCAACCTGGACGTTTCTTCCCGTCGACCGGTTTCACTCCTAATGATGGGGTCCTTCAGCGGATAGCACCCTCCAACCCTCCCGTCTAACCCCACCGTCGCGCCCTGGCTCGGATTCGCCCCTCGGGCGCTGTCCTCGCAGGGGGGTAACGGGTTCACCACTGCCCGGTAAAGCCAACTTGCAGGCGGCGGGTTGGTGTTCGTGATCCTCGGCCGCCCTGCCTCGTCTCCGTGCCCCTCCGTCCCGAACCGAGCCGGAAGATGGCAGGGAACCTGAAGAAAGGTGGGGGGATCATCGGAATGATGAAGGATGCCTTCCAGCCACACCATCACCACCTCCACTCCCATCACCAGCCCGGGGCCGTGGACAAGAAAACCGTGGAGAAGTGCTGGAAGCTGATGGACAAGGTTAGCAAACACGAACACCACCGCGCGATGTTTACACGTCTGGTGACCAACGGCTCTCTGGGCTAACTGTAGCTAACCAGATAGCTAATCTTTGTAGCTAATGTTCGGTTAGCTCGTCAGCTGTGGGGACAGTATATAATATCTCACTTCGGCTCGTTTTACCATCTAAACTCGTAAGTGTTTATTAATTCACTGACAATCATTAACACAGAGAGGCCAGTAAAACAAGCTGAGTTTGATACTGGCCTCCGGACATGGCAAAACAGACCTGCTCCCAACATCAGTCAAAAGTCTGAGCTAAACTGTGGTAGCGCCGTCATCTGTTCCACAACTATTACACTTTTTACTTAAATGGTTACGGAATCCGTTTGAACCCGACCCTCCAGAGACCCGGATAGTGCAGCCTTCACAAGTCTGCGTTACTTCCCTTTTGAACACTCCTGCACTTTCAGCCAGCTGCCTGTCAGTCGTCGAAAAGTGCAATAAATCGAAATGTGTCTTTTGTCGCCGGAACGTTTGAGCTCTTTCTTTTACGAGGAAGACTCATCGTACACCTTGCTTCTCGGAAAACAGTCAGAAGCAGCTCGACCCCCAGCTTCCTGTGAGATTCAAGCAGCTTTTTTGGGTTGCTCTTCCTTTTTTATACCTCGGCTGTTGGCTGTGAAGTGAAGAGGCTACTGCCCAACCAGAGTTTTCTGCTTAATCTTAGTCCTGCGAGATGAAAACGACATTTTGAAATGACTTGAGGAACAAAACTTCTCATGCTCCTGCAGTTTGTTTAAAAAGCAACTGATGTCTGGCCATGTATATTAACATGCACCAATAGCTTAGGAAATGTGTTGGAGCTTCCCTTCAAAAGTTCCTTTGAGTTTATCAAAAGTGTGACAACAGTGTCTTCACATATTTTTCCACTAGCAGCAATTCATCCTGTCACAGTTTTTAAGCTGAGTTTTGTAGCATAATTTAATTGCTTTTACTTAACACCCAAAAGCAACCGACTTCTTGCTAACTTGTTGATGCTAAGATAATATATTGGATATCCTAGTTTCCATAATTTTATCTTTTAACTTGTCTTTCTTATTTTTAATACAAAGACTTGGGCAGAAGTGAACAATTGACACCTGCTATGTTCAAAATGCAACACCTTTTTGGCCTTAATTAGTCATTAGTGCAGCCTGCACTAACATACATGCCATTTGTACATTGTAGTCTTAAAACTATAACTACCTACTGTAGGACTCTGATGGACTGGCAATGTGCCCAGGGTGGCACAGCCTCAGGGCTCCTCTTTGAGGATAAGCATAGACTATGGATGCATGGATGGATGCATGTTGTCTAAAGAGTAGGGATCCCATTTAAACGACTTTAATAATAGCATTAATATATTCATAATGTGTATTTCGTAACATTTATCTGTTATTTTGATGCAAAGAAACATTGAATTACCACCTGCTGAACGTGGTAGTGGTTGTCATGTGCTGAGTAGTGTATGTGTAACACATTAACCCGTTAATCAGGCTACCTGCTTGGGTACAGTCTGTATTCGGTTGCTTTATGAACGTGCTACTCGTAACTTGCCAGCCTTTTAAAGTTTTATCTCACTTTGAAAAATTCCTAAATAAATTTTAATAGTACCTGTCATTAAATGTGAATGGTCCTAAAACCTGAGGGATTTGATAGCGTGTCAAGCCCACCGTTTGTCAGTTTTGGACTTTAAGCCACATTAAAAATCTGAAACATACATTTGTATAAAATAATCCAAGACAAAGTTACACTTTAAAGTGGCAAATATAAACACCAGGAACACCATTTGTTCAGGCAGCGTTGGCAAGCTGCTGTCGATAATGAATGTCATATATTATTGTAAAGGTAAGAGTGATTACATTAGCTACTAATTAGCTAACAGACTATTCACATTATGTTGGCAAACAGTAGCCAGCATTGTCTGCTAACTGCAGTTTTTATAGTATCGTTAACTAAAATGCTAAAATTTGCATGTCAAATATTATCTACTTTGCAGAAGTTGGTAATGTATTAAAGGAAGGTAACACATCCATGAATGGCATTGTTTTAGTTCTCACAACGCTGCTGTTTGTGATTTTGTGACGCTGATGTTTCAATTAAAGCACTCTGAATTTTAGGAACGGGCAGAAAGTTTTAAACGTTTTGAAACCATAACAATTTTTTAAACCTTGGTGAAGTTAGCTGGCTCAGGCCAGTGGCGCACATTAGCTGTTCTTGATCTATTCAGATATTTTTCAATTAAATTTGTGTATAAACCTGCATATTTTTAATTCATTTGTGGTTCTTTTACTGAAGAAAAAAATTATAACTTTGAAACAGAAAGAGGTAGAAATTATATTTGCACACTTAATTAGATCAGCATAAAATTAATTTCCTTATTTAATGTAATATTTTCCTTGGATTGTGTAATTTAAAAAAAATAATAATTATGAAATCTTAATTTCTGTATCAGCCAAAAAATGTTGATACATTTTTTGTTCATCAGCCAAACTAATTTGTAACAAAATAATCCTGTGTACCATGGTAAAAAATTTTTTGCATGTATTATTTATGTTTTGTGCAACTATAGTACTCACCATTTGTTCTGCTTTGTGTCATAGTTAAAATATAACTTTTGTAATCTTGCAAAATAAAATTTAAATTGAGTTTTAAACATTTGCAGACATGATGATGTATTTTAGGCTGAGTTTTCATTATTCTAAATTGAACATTGTAAAGATCGTTCTACAAGTCGCACAAGAAAATTTCTTAGTTTGCTCATAGGACACAGTGTCCAGTAATACTTAGTACATATTTTCACAATAATTGGTTCAGAGAATCCCTGTGGAATGCAAGTTAATTTTATTTGTTCAACAAATCAGCAGTGTATGCCTAAAAAGTTACACACCAAATTGCTTTCTTTATTTGCTACAACAAATATTATAAAATTGTTGTCGGTTTTACATTTTATGCCACCAAGTTAATGTGCCATTAACTCAAGCAATACGTTAATAACACGAACAATGAATGCACTTACTTAACAGAAAAAATAACAGCCACATGACTGTATTAGACAAGAAAAATACAAAGTTAGGGCAAACAATTTAATCTTTTTCTGTTTAGCGTTCATTTCTCAAAGAAGTCTGCTACTTCTTACAGGCCACCTTCGGTTATTATGAACCTACCATGTCAGCGCCAGGTGTGAAGCTGTCTTTGAAGGGGTTGAACAGAGGGAAGTGGGGTAGAGGTGGAATGCATTTTGCTGAGAGGCAGTCGAGCTTTCATTTAAAGACGGGAGCTTTAATAAACGCTGACATATAAGGGCCCCAGATGTTGCTGCATCAAACATGTAGGCATGCAATATTGCCTACATGCTCAGTTCAAATCTGGCAGGCGTTGATGGTGATAGCGGTGTAAATCTTATCTCTGGTTAGATGTAACAATTGTCTGTCTATAGACATAAAAAAAAAAGACAAGAATATAGTTGATCGTGTTGAATCTTAGATTAGACTGAAAGATATTTGTACTAAAAAATTTAAGTTAAAAGGTTTTAAATGTAGAGGGAGAGCAATGTATCCCATTTATTATTCCGGTTAAATGTCAATTTTCTTTGTTGCAATGCCTAACCGACAGTGTCTTCTGATTAATACTCTGTAAATGTGTGGTGGATACATTTCTCGTTCTCTCGTCAAAGTTCACGAATGCAACACAACTTCGTACGTCAGACTTTCTGCCATAAGCACATAATAAGCATCTGTCTTGCTTTTCTCGGTTTCAAGATTAAAAATGCCTTCAAATGAAGGACATGCTAAGTTGGGAAACTCTGCTGGAACTAATGGTTATTTGATTATGTAATATTTTCCTGTTTACTTCTGGAGACGGTTAATCATCTGGTTTCCTCATGGCACGACTGAAGCTGTTTCGGTTGCTCTTCAGAGGGCTGTCGGTTCAGTCGGTCAGCTATAAATTGATTCAAGGTTCTTCGAGCTCAAGTGCAAACTTTATCTCTGTCAGTTTTATTTGTGGCTTGAACTGTGAAGTCATGAGTGGCTTGGAAAAAATGGAACAATATAGATACGGCACGACGGCTATAATAAAATAAATAGCACTTTTTAAAGACTGTTCTCTAAAGGAACACTTAATAGGCGGTATGTTATAAATTATACCGTGTGGCTTATTTTTTGCTCAAAAATTGACCTCTACTGACACCTTCTCTCACATCTTGTTATTGAGACGTTAAACTGGGGGTGTGGTTTGACAGAAAAATGTTAGAGGTTCTGACATGAACCTCTTAATATTTTAACTACACCATAATACAAGTAATTGAGCCAAAATCAAATCTTTACCAAACTTATAAATCACTCAACGTCTTCTGAGGTTTGATTATTTATTTTCCCTCCCTAATGGAAAACAGTTGACTCTCATAAAAGGCAAGGCAATTCATAACAGCCATTTTCAAGACGTGTACCTGCCGTATTTCTTTCCTGCCCTCCCACATGATCAGCACACAATCATTTGGCCTGATTTGCAAAAAAAAAAAAAAAAAAAAAAAGAGCCATGCCTTGTTGCTGACATGATAGTTTGGTTGCAACTGAAGGCTGCCAAAGAAGCTCTGATTCAGATCCAGATCTGTGAATGAAAACTTATTTCTTTGCATGTTTTTGCAACTAAACAAACGGAGTTGTGTGCACGTTGGCTGCAGTCGTGTTACCGAGCTTCATGACAGAGTGTTCCAGGCTTTACGCCAGTATCTTTCTAGTTGTTTTTTTTTTTTTTTGTTATGGTTAACGAAGTGACTCAGTTACAGTGAGATTGGCGATGAAAGGTTCAACATTACTGAAGATCAGGTGTGTTTCAGTAAACTTGAGTACATCTGGTTGGGACTAAAGATATTTTGAACTTCAAATAAAGCATTTACAAAAGCAATCCACCAGGAGTTTATTTTTGTTTGGTTATAGTTTTTACTGGGGGGGCAGTAGCCATGAAGCACATATTTTCAAGACACTTGAGCTCTTCAAATTTGCATGATAATCATGTCCAAATATGAAGCAAAGAGAATGAGTGTTTTTATTATTTTTTGAAGGCATAAGTGGCAGAGGATCTTCAGATTGAAATGTGGAATTGGTGTAAACACATGAATAGCCTCTCCAAACATGCAGAAGGACATACATGGGAGGGGATAGGGACTCGCACAATCAGCATATAAAAAGCTCAAGCATTCTTGATTAGAACAAACTGGTGTAAAACAAGAGGATTGTGGATGTGTTTTGGGGGAAAAGACAGTGTACAATAGTTTGCAGAAGTTTTTATGTGACTTCAATTAAACTTTTTTACATTTACGTCTCACAAATGTCAATGCAATTTATTGAAATTTTATGTGTTGTTTATAATTGTGAAAGGAAATAAAATGGTATGTGAATTTAACAAATCTCTACATACAGACTGTCTTTTTTTTTAATCTGTTGTTTGCAGTCAACTCAAGCTCAGTCAATGATCAGAGAGCGTCTCAACATCTGTTTTGTCTCAGATCCTCAGTTGGGTTTGGTTTTGACATCGACAAGGCTACTCTTACAAACGAATACGGTTTGATGTAAACCGTATTCTAGCAGGCTCTTCGCCGCGCTGGAAGGTGTGGCTTGACGCCAGTCTTCTTGCAGTCGTCTGTCTACGGGGCTGTTGAATACTTTGGCAGGACGCTGTACATGGATGCACTCAGCCTTTGTTTTGGGCTGATACATTTTTATGAAGGAAGTGCAGCGCTTGTAAAATAATTAATGATACCATACAGTGACGGCCTGAATGTTCAGTGTATTACATAATGCATAGGTTGCTGGTTTCTAAAAGGCCTGGGCTTTTAGGGACCTTTCTCTCAGTCTTTGTTGGCATGTTCTGTTTTGCATGACTCCTATTTGGCCTCCCTGGAAACATCTTGAGTGGTTTAATCACTCAAAGGGGTATACTATTAAAATTGGTTTTTAATCATTTATAAACTGCAATTTTGATGTACAGCCTAAAAATACATGGTGACAGTCATCTACGGTAATCTGTCTGTCCACATTTTTCTCCTCACACCCTTTTTGTGAACCTTTCTTTTTTGTGCATTTTCTTTCACATAACCTCCCAAAGCTGGTTTCTTATCTCCTAACCGTGTCTCTGTTCTCCCCCTCACATCCTCCCGTTTCTGCAGGTGGTACGGCTGTGCCAAAACCCCAAACTGGCTCTGAAGAACAGCCCCCCTTACATCCTCGACCTGCTGCCAGACACGTACCAGCACCTGCGCACCATCCTGTCTCGCTATGAGGGCAAAATGGAGACTCTGGGAGACAACGAGTACTTCCGGGTCTTCATGGAGAACCTGACCAAGAAGACCAAGCAGACCATCAGCTTGTTCAAGGAAGGCAAGGAGCGCATGTATGAGGAGAATTCGCAACCCAGGTCTGTGAAATGGTCCTAAATGTTTGTGTCTTTATTTTATGCTGCCTTGCCAGTACGTTCTGTTAATTAACCTGAAATGAGTAATTTGAATGTAACACGTTGTCTGTGCTTCATTCGGAATCATTTTGAGAACAATGGCAGCCATACCCACCCCCTTAGGCTAGTTGTAGTTCAAGATGTATCAAAACAGGAGAAGAGAGGTGTTGTGGTTTGAGAAAGCTAGGGTGTGTGGTTAGAAGGGCGCTCATTCTACAGCTGCCTGGCACTTTGTTTTTGAGCCTCTCTATCGTTGCCATCTATTCGCTATGTTCTTTAGCTGCTACAGTTGCTAGCTCTTTGATATTCTTAGAAGTTTGAAACAATAGCTCGCTTCTCGCACTAAAAAGAAGTGCTTATTCTTTTTGAAAAAGGCTGAATGTTGAAATAGGTAGACAGAACCACAGACAGCAGAAGTAGTTCTAAGTAAGAACACAAAATTCAACGCTGATGAATTTTAAGTGTGGGCTGCACTTTTTTTGTGTAATTTCCATAAATTTTAAAATGTAGTTTTGTCCAACATCATACTGTGATATGCAGAGTCACAAAACAAAGGCTATAAAAGCTTAGAAAACTTCTTGTAACTTTATTGATGAAGGTTTGTGGGAGTGTCAGTTCTATAAAATGGAACAAGCTGTCTCAATTATGACTATTATTAGGCAAAAAAAAGTTTTTTGTTACCAGTCAGTAAATATAGATCTCAGAAGATTTTCTACATATGCAAATGTACGGGAACCTCTACCATTACTGGCATCTCGGTGAAGTGGTATATAAATAATTAAAGAAAACTTTACTTTCAATACACTAAGTCTACAATATCACATTGACAAAGAAATGGTTGGAAGTTACAATTCTAATATTTGCTAAAAGATTTTAATAGAAGCTCAATCATAGCCAGTCCTCAAACAATATATTGACAATCTGTGAATGTTCAGAAATGGACTCTCAAACGTGATGAGAATTTATTGACAGTGAAGCTAAAACTCAGAAAGTTTTTGGGTATCTGGTGTCATTTAACTGGCATTGGTGCAATAAATATTGCAACCAATTGTTTCTCCGATAATCCTGGATGCTATGCAGACTTTGTGACTCTTTGCTTCAGGTTTGTGAGCTTCTGGGATTCATTTTCATTATAGTAAAATAACCTCCAGGATTTGTAGAACCATATTTCTCAGAGGCTTCCTTGCTGTGAAGATAGATATCTGCATAATTAGATTAGTATTTTTATTTATTTAATATCTGCTGATGACTTCGATTCTTTTGTCGTTTTATAGAGTGGCTAAGATAAATTGCTTTCTGTGTCTGATCATATATGTACTGCAGAAGATAATCATTTATTCTGAATTAAAAGTCCAATAATCCGATCAATTTATAAGAAAAAGTTGGCAATATTTATAGAAATCTTTAGGCTGCCAATTTGTGTAGCATAATTGTTGATTAATAATGTGTTATTGTGGTACTTTTTTAATCTCTGAACTTTTGGAGAGTGATGACTTTACCTTTGGTTGAACTGGATGTTAGATTTGCAAAAATACTTTAAGCTGTAGGTGAAAAAGCCGAAGTTGTTCAGAGCAGTTAGACGAAACAAAATCTTTTTTCACTTTTTGGCTAGACAGGCAACGAGGGGGGAATGAACGGTCTGAAATTGCATTAATATTTTTAAATGTAACACAATTTGTCTGAATAGAGGTAGCATTTTGTTCTATGACTGATCATTCTTTTTGGTGTATTTACAGATGTAGGTGACAGTTTTATTCGTCATTTGCTAAGAGATACATCCTCATCTTGTTTCACAGTTCCTCAGTGAAATGGTTTTTTCTCAGCTGCTAAGACCATAATCTTGCAGACAAACCCCCACAAAGGCAACCAAAGAGAAGAGGAAGTTTCAATTTTAGGCCCTTCTGTTTTGAACACAGATAAAGTTGCTTGTTACCATTTTAAGTATTTGTCAGTGTGAAATTAATTTCCATTCTCACTCCACTGCAATGAGAGACTGAGAAAAAATAAATTATTGCTGAAAAGCAGAAGAAATGCGCTCGTATACACTCACCAGACATTGCGCACACAAAGGTGACTATTGTTTAAATTGAGAAGGCAGTGCCTGTGACTCTAACCAATGGGTATCAGCCCACTTAAGTTATGTTGGATGCCAGAGAGATACTAGTGTGTGTTTAGGCTGCAGCAGGGTTTACATGTGGCTTAGACTCAGAAGTCCAACGGGAACGGTAATTTCTGCAGTTACCAGTGCTTATTTCTTTTGTTTTGCCAATTCACTCCGGCCATCAGACTGTACACTTCTCCAACCAATTGCAGAAAGCTTCAAGAGCTACTATTGTAGCTTCAGTAAATAGTAGGGTACATGTTGAAGTTGTTGATGATAATGTCAGAGAAATATTTAACTCATTTGGATTCAATGTGGAGATAAAAACAGAGGTTGACTTGGATAAGCAATGTTTCATATGAATAAGCCGTAAGACTTCTGGAACTTCGACCTTTGACGAATGGAATAAAAGCAAAGCTGTCAGGTCATAGTGAACAACACCGTCATTGGGGAAAACCAAAAATGAAAAAAGATCCTTGTTATCATCTCCCCAAAACTTGATGGAGGGTGTGGTTTGGTTTTCCCATGTCTAAATTTAATGCGGAGTGAAAGATTTCACCTGTTCCTTAGTCATAGCATGGCAAGATACAAGTGAGTATTCTGCTGTGCAAGCCTGTTTCTCAAGAAGGTTTGAGCTCTACAAGTAAAGGGAAAATTGCATGTTACAAGGTTCAGGCCAGGTGAGTTTTCTGGTCTGTCAAGCACAGTAACTCTTTGTTCCCTGAACCAGCTTATGGTACCTTTGGCAGGGTGGGTAGGTGCAAAGACTGTCTGGAAAACAAAATTAACGTTTCCATAAACATAAACGTTGGACCAACATCAACAGAGGACCTGCCACCCTGACTCATTGATTTTTCTTTTTTTGTTATTTTGTTTTAAGGATTTTTTATGCTATAGTGGCCTTTGTTGTATAGTGTATGGATAAAAAATGGGGAGTACAGAAAAGGGAAGGGGAACACATACAGCAATGGGCCAGAGACCAGGACATGATCATCACTGACTGAAAACTTCACACTGGACTTCAAGTAACTGTGCTTTGCCACGTTGCCTCCAGACTTTGTGACCTTGAGTGAGCAGCAGTCCAGTCTCTGGCTCACAGTGGCTTAACAAAAGAAATACATCTGTAGCCCATAGGGCTTGTCGGTGCGTAGTGACTCCTGTGTCAGTTAATTTCTTATGAAGTTGTTGAGTGGATTTTGCTTGACAAACCTCTCAAGGCTGGAGTTATTCCTGGTGCATCTCTTCCTGCCACCCTTTTTCAATCCTCTGTTGGATATGCATTCTGTGACCAACCAGCTTCTTTAGCAGTGACTTCTTTTTGGTTCCCCTCTGTGTGGGAGCGTTGATGACTGTCTTCTGCATTTTTGTGTAGCCGACTGACCTCGAGACTGTTTTTAGCTTCAGAAAATCTCTCCAGGTCTTTTAAGTTAACTAATAAAAGTTTCCAATATTTCACCTTTTTACTATATTCTAATTTTCTGAGACACAAATTGCGACATTTTTATTATTTGCATGCAGTCATGTGCAAAATGAAAATAAGTATTTGAAATATTCAGTGAGTTTCACTTTCTGAAGTGACTGCTCAAGGAAAAGGGCTCGCTGTTGTTCACAGTGCATGAAAGTGAGCACAAAAGTGTGTCTGCTGCGAGTAAGACTTAATTATTAACACTAGCATACCATATTCGGTGGGAGTCGACATAACAGTCAGCACTTCCTCCTTTTTTACTTCACTTACTTCCTCCAGTAACCTTACGCAGCACAGCCCAGACATTTAGGTCCTCTGTCAGAGGAAAATTCACAGAGATTAGATAAACGTTCAAGTTAGAACAGTGTTTCTTTTATTCATCAAATGAGAACAAGGTAAAAGGGCTTTTATCTCAACCTAATCAGCATAGAAGGTGTTTAAATGTTTGGTGGTAAGAAAAAGTTGGGGGTTAATATAATTAAAGACTGAGGAAGTTGGACTTCTCCAGTGTGTTTGCTCGTTCTTTTGAGCTGCGCCACCATTGCATCCTGACGAACGCTGATAGATCCAGCTGCTTACAGGAAGTGGTGAGGTTATGAGCTGCAGGGTGATGCAGCTGCACAGAGGGACAGACTGTCGAAAGTGATAGAGGTGAAGGAAAATGATACATTTGCTAATGGATGTTTTTTTTTTTCCCTTTAATTTTTAATGAATTCTTACAGCAGATCCACCAAAGTGAAGCTCAACAAGTGCTTTTATTTTAATCAAAGTACTGTTTTTCAATCAACAACAAATTAAATAAAATTTAGTTAGTGCCATTATTAAAATCAGAGTAAGATTTATTGCAGTTTTCAGAACATTAACTGTCTTTGCCCAGCATTAAAACAAAAATAAGAGCTCTAGAAAATGAGGTTTTACTTTATACTCCACACTTGCTAAGTAGAGATGCATTGAACAGGCTTTTTCTGCTTGTACCGATTTCTGTGCATCTTTGCGACCTAACCTCAGATGCTATTCTTCTTTCCTTCTACTGAAGACTTCATCACACAAGAGAAAAATACTTACACTTACTCAAAATAAACATTGCATACATCTATCTGTATGCTTTAATGTTATACAAGCTTTAAGAAGTGTAAATTGACCGTTCGTTCCTGTAGTTTTTTGTTTGCATGTTGATGATCTCCGGGAGGTTTGTGACGCCTAGGCTTCCCAATTTGAAAATCTCAAGTTCCATGAATATTTCACTTGAATTTGATTTCACTTTGGACTTTTGGAAACACTTGGAGAATCTGACTTTGCAACATTACTTCTGAAAATCTGGTTCTCCAACCAACACCATTTTTTCTTTTAGGCTTTCTTCTAATATCACTGCCTTTTCTTTCTGACACAATTTCCATT